ACCGAAAAATATTTAGATTCTGATAAATATTGAAAAATCACTAACCGACATCATGAAATTCGTTAGACCAACTCCAATGGTTGGGCTAAAAGCCAAATTTTTTAGCTCGGAAAATTTAGCTTTTAGCCCAAAAACAACTTTTCTGCTTCAACCCTTCTGGCCTAAAATTTTAGCTCGGGATTATTAAAGAATGAACTTAGGCTATTTTTTTTTTCTAATTTTTTTTTGAAAAAATAAATATGTAAACTATCGTAAATTAATTTTATGAACATTTTAATCTAAAAATATTTTATGAACATTTTAATTTTATGTAGACTCTCTGGAGTGTATTTGCTGAGGTCCTCCATCATCAAACTAAGTTCAAACCTCTCTTGCTCCCTATTGGAGATTTCCTTCATTTGCAAAAGCATTCGAATCATTTCTTCTTGGTGAGCGCTATGGGTTTCGTTCAATTTTGCAATTCTGGTAGCAAAGTGTCTACTCATCGGATCTTGGCACTTCCCTGTTCTCTTTGCTTCCTTTTGCTTATCTCTTCCCGGGGGCCTTGCAAAAGAAGGAGATAGGGTCATTTCATCGACAACTTCATCTTCGACATTTGTTTGTGCAGCATCACGTTGAAATAATCTTCCCCATTGTTGGTCTGCATCGGTTCCCCACCTCGTACAATCCTTGAAGATGTCCCAAGCATGTTGCAATTTAAAAACTTGATTTTTTGGTGTTACTCTTGTCTTGTAAATTTCCATTGCTTTGTCACCCTGTGCAAAAAATACATAAAAACAATTAGTTGCAAACTAATATTATGTACATGACAAATAAGATATCAAGAAAAAAACTCATAATTTCTATGGCGCTCCTTCCACTAAGCATGCCAACCACGACTCTCTCCAAGTTTCCCTTCCATAAAGTGCATGCTTTATTGATAGTCTTCCACCGATCATAAACACCACCACCGCCCCACCCACTGCCGTTGTAGTTTTCTTGAAACTTTGCAATGATTTTATCCCACAAAACTTTTTTATTTTGATTTATGCCAACTGCACCATCTTCGCTAACAAAAACCCATGCCAAGCATAAAGCAACATCTTCCTCACAGGTCCAATTACGGCCTCTAATATGCTCTCTTGCCATGTTGAACAATTTCGAAATGGAAAGAAATGGTAGAAAGATAAATTGGAAGAATTGTAGGAGAAAATTGAGTTTTGTGTGGATGTTTGAACAAATAAATAGGTATTTATAGAGTTTTTGGGTGAATTTTGAGTTAAATAATTTTAGCCGTTGGATTTAAATTTGGGCCATTAGATTTTTTATTTTTTTTACCGTTAGATTTGATTATATTCTATCTCAGCCGTTGGATTCAATGTATTTTAAAATAACATATTTAAAAAAATTAAATTGAATCTAGACTGTTGGATCAACCAATGGTCCGTTAAACCAAGCCTTTGGATTCAAAGTATAGCCGTTGGGATTTTTGGGTGGCCGACAAACGGCTGATAGCGGGGCTTACCCCTGTCGGGAAAGGTTTGCAAGCGCATCGCATGGGGCGCGTTGGAGGGTGACCGAGCTGAGACTGGCCTAATTGCCAACGAATCTAGTCGCACCAGGGGGGAGATTTTGGGGGGTATTTGGCACAGCTTTAACATTTGGCATTTAGCCCAATGTTTTAGCATGTGTTGGAGATTGTTTTTTTTGGGGGGGGGGGGAATTTGGGGGGTAATTTAGCATTTAGCCCACCATTGGAGATTGTCCTAAACACTATGAAAAAATATGAAACAAATGAAAGATTTTTTTTTATAATTATTTTAGCCATTAGATTTAAATTTGGACCCTTAAATTTCTTGTTTTATCGTTGAATTTCATCAAATTAGATCTTAACCGTTGGATTCAATGAATTTATAAATATAAAACAAAATAAAATATACATATATGGTGGGCCAACCACACTGATCCTGGGCTAAATCATGGGCTAAATTTGGCTTCCATTTGAGTTTTAGGCTTTAGGCCACATTTTAGCCTTGGGTTGGGTTGAGCTTTGGGGGGAATAGAAGTGGAAATTTAAGTAAGTGTAAATATTTTAAATTGACAATTGAATCAGTTCGTTGTATTCATATAGGGTCAAGGAGTGTAGTTGTAAAAAATCATCAAAATTAGAGGTAAAATAACTGTTAAATCGTGATTTTTCGTTGTTAACCATCGAAAAGCTTTGTCTCGTTACTTGATCTCTGAATTTTTGTTTTTTGCAATTTTTGGCGTATGCAATCTCGAAATATATACAAATAAGTTTGATGGTTTGATCGTTGAAATTAGTTTCGTACAATGTGTATCCCATCAAAATGATAGATTCTCTAACATTTAAGAGTTTATTTATACTTTCATTATGTATAACATAAGGTTTTGTGGTATCCACTAGTGTAAGTATTTTAAATTGATGATCGAATTAGTTCGTTGTATTCATATAGGGTCAAGGAGTGTAGCTGTAAAAAATCATCAAAATCGGAGTTAAAATAACCGTTAAATCGTGATTTTTCGTTTATAACCGTCGAAAAGTTTTGTCCCGTTACTTGATCTCTGAATGTTTGTTTTTTACGATTTTTGGCGTATGCACTCTCGGAGTATATACAAACAAGTTTGACAATTGGATCGTTGAAATTAGTTTCGTAGAATGCGTATCCCATCAAAATGATAGGTTTCCTAACACTTAGAGTTTATTTATACTTTCATTAAGTATAATATAAGATTTTGTGGTGCCCACTAGTGTAAATATTTTAAATTGACGTTCAAATCAGTTCGTTGTACTCATATAGTGTCAGGGAGTGTATCTGTAAAAGATCATCAAAATCGGAGTTAAAATAACCGTTAAATCGTGATTTTTCGTTTATAACCGTTGAAAAGCTTTGTCCCGTTACTTGATTTCTGATTGTTTGTTTTTGTGATTTTTGGTTTATGCAATCTCGAAGTATATACAAACAAGTATGATGTTTGGATCATTGAAATTAGTTTCGTACAATTCGTATCCCATCAAAACGATAGATTCCCTAACACTTAGAGTTTATTTATACTTTCATTAAGTATAACATAAGATTTTGTGGTATCTACAAGTGTAAATTTTTTAAATTGACAATCGAATTAGTTTGTTGTATTCATATAAGGTGAAGGAGTGTAGCTGTAAAAAACATCAAAATCAGAGTTAAAATAACTGTTAAATTGTGATTTTTCATTTATAACCGTAAAAAAGTTTTGTCCTGTTATTTAATCTCTGAATATTTGTTTTTTGCAATTTTTTGCATATACAATCTCGGAATATATACAAACAAGTTTGACGATTGGATCGTTGAAACTAGTTTCATACAATGTGTATCCCATTAAGTTCAATGGTATATATATTTATTAAGTAAATAAAATTTATAATATTTTTTTAGAAAAAAAAAAAAAAACCTTGCGCGACGCCACAATGTTATCGTTGTGCAAAAGCACTTTGCTCGACGTCAAAATGAAAACATGCATCGCACCATTTGTGACAATTTTAACCGTGCAATAGTAAAAAATAGGAGTCTTTTTTAAAAAAATTTCCCAAGTTTTTCCATATTTTTTTTAATAATAGGCCTTCCTCTCGCTTACCTCTCTTTTCTCGCTGCAGCCGACTTTCCACCTCATCCTCTCTCTCTTCCCCCACTCCAGCTGAGTTTCCTCCTCATCCTCTCTCTTCCCAACGTAAACCCAAATCCTCCTCCACTCCAGCTGAATCTCCTCCTCAGCTCAGCTTGCACAAGGCATTCCCACCCAATCGCCCATCAGTTTCTCGACCGCCGATCAATTTTGTTCATGTAACTATACGGTCTAATTTGATTGATGGTAATTGCTGATTAGATTTTTGGTTTCTGGATATGATTGTTGTCGTTTTGATTTGATATCAGTCGTTTCATGCTGGTTTCGCTGTTATGGTTATGAAATTAGGGTTTTTTGGACTGCGATTGATGTGGGTGGAATGAGATAATAACCATTAGATTTGATTTTTTTTCATGTGGGTCAGTTTTGTTTTGTTTTTTTATAGCTCAATCTTTGAGTTTCTTATCTGTGGGTTTTGTTTTCCGTTTAGATTTCGATATAAGGTTTGAATAGCTCAATCTGTGAGTTTCTTGTGTATTTTGATTGATATTGTGATGTTTGATTTGGATATGCATTTTTTGTTGATTGGTTTGTTGGGTCAGTCTTACATGTAGGATAAGCTGTCATACCAATTGATTCATGGTATCGTTCACTTCCTGCAATGAACTTCTAATTGAATAAAAAGAAATATAAATCCTAGCTCTGAGGTCCCAATTTTCAATTTCTGAATTATGGTCCTCAATGGAAGTTGGAAGCCTCCATATTAACTAAAGCAAAATGGAGGCCCAAATTTAAATTTTGGAAACAAAATCAGTTACAAGTACATTATCCCTAAACCAATCAAGTACTTGCTTATAAATCCAAAAGGTCAAAGAAATAACTGTTCTACTATATACATACACTTAACAACAGAACAAAAAATATACTTTGCTATGACAGATTCCTCATCAGGGATCCTACTAGAGTACATCCTGAAAAAAAAAAAAACAATCACAGTAATTGAAAAAAACAGCCATGGTAATTGAAAAAAACAGCCATAGAGTACTTCCTACTAGAGCACATTCAAGAAAGTGTTCAAGAGCCTTTGCAAGTTCCCCATAGTAATTGAAAAACACAACCTGCAATCTAGGAACTCTGGCTCCTAATTTTTGGCTATTAACCATAGAGGACTTCCTATTTTAGTTGCTTATTGGGATTTGTTAGGTTTATCTGCTGTTAGTTTCAATTCTACAGGAACTCTTGCTCCTAATTTTTGGCAATTAACCATCTTTAATTAGTATTGTTTCTACCGTTGCACTACTGCTATATATATATGTGTGTGTGTGTGTGTGTATGAACAAATGCAGGAAATGATTAGTTTCTAATGTTATAATTTTATGGTTCAAAAAGTGTATAGATGTCGTGGTTGATCATTGGTCATCGGAGCGTGACCAATGGGCCTCCTGCATTATCAGGATCTACTGCTTCATGCGTGAGTTCTCCATTGATTGGGGAGCCTACACGCCTTACTGAGGCTACTCTTACGATGTCCCAGGCGCCCGTCTCATCGACGCCATTAATGTCGGTTCAACCACTCAGTGCACGGCGGCCTCACCAGCCGCAAGCCGAAGCCTTCTGATCACACTTCCTCATCATCCTAATTAAGGGTGAGGCCTCCCAGCCAGGTAGTTTTTTCTAATTCTCACTACGTTGTATTTTCTTTTTGCATTTTAAAACTATTATTTTTATGATGGTGAAAATTTGCTGGTTGTGAAATTATGTTGCAGGTTGTGAATTATTGTTATTTTATTGTTTTAAGGTTTTGGGAAATGCTATACTATTAGGGGAGGTTGTGTCGAATTTTTTGTACAAATTTAAGCGTAGGGTTTTCACCATTTAAGGGTTTTCACCATTTAAGTATTTTTGACCAGCTAAAAAAAACACCAAAGGGCGTAGTCAAATGCTGAAGCAGGCACAGAGAGTACGTCAGGCCGCCTCCAAGATCAAGAATGCGTATGACCCGCGACATTGTGGAGCGGCTACCTCACAGCAACATAGCATCATCATTAGTAGTTATGGTGTTGTTATTCGACAAAATTGTCCTATGAAGTGGGAGTCTTGGGCAGAAATTCCCGAGGAGACGAAGAAACTGGTGCAAGACAAGTTGTCGGTATATTAATTTTTAGCCTTTATTATTTTTTTAATTTTGTTTACAAATATTAAAAACCAAAATATATTATCTTAATATTTAAATTTCTTACTATTATTTTATTATTTTTCATATTCGTAGGTCATTGATGATCTTCAGGACATATCCCCCGAGGCCATGGCCTACATAGAAGAGACCTTAGCAACCCCGTACAAACATTGGAAGAACAATCTTCACACACATTTTAAGCTATGGGATAATTTGGAGATTGCTCGTCTACATGGTTGCCCAATTGAGTTGCAGGACCGGCCAGAAGAATGGGAGTGGCTCTGCAAACATTTTACGAACCCAAATTTTGTGGTATGTACATAATATTTTAATAATAACTTATTATTGTTTTAGTTATTTTTTTAAGCTTTTTTTGTTAATTTATTTCAAATAGTCGCACTAACATGTATATTGTGTGTTTAACAGAAGAAATCTGTTGCTGGCAAGAAAGCTCGAGAGTCAAAGACACATCTCCACCATTCCGGTTCGAAGCCCTTTTCGTATAGGCTTGAGGCACGAAGTTAGGTAAAAGTATATTAATTTTGAAAATTTATAATTTATTTATTATTATTGATTAATAAAATTTTCTTAATACTTTTTTCTTCATGAGGGTTCTAAGTTCCCAAAGATTGACCCGTTCAAGGACGTTTACGTTCGACCTGGTGATGAGACAACTAAGCAGCTTCATGTAAGTATATGTAATTGTTATTATTCCTATATGTATGAATTGTTCAAATATTATTTATATTTTGTTATTAAACATTATATGTTTTTTCTTTATTATTACAAGATGCTATGGTGGAAAAGCGCACTGCTGTTCTCCAAGAAGCAACATCGCAACTTCCCGCGGAGACCTCGATCGAGGATGTCACGGTACCCGAGGATGCAGGTTTTCAGATCCTGACTGATTTCCTGGATCAGAACTTCGGTCGTCGTCATGGCAAGGTTGTTCGGTGTATGGGGAAAGTGCTGATTCGTGAGATGAGTGCCTCTTCTTCTAGATCGAACACATCAGAGGTCAATGCATTAAAGGAGGAAGTGACAACCCTAAAGGGTTAGCTTGCGGTCCAAGATGAGGAGATAAGGACCTATGCCGTGCAGATGAGAGACCTTGTACGAGCCATACAGATGTCCAGCCTCCAAATCTCACTACCAGCACCTAATCTTGCTCCACCTTTGATGTCTGAGCCACTTCGTCTTGCCGATACCCAGTAGCCTGATGTATCAAACCTAGAAGAGTACTTGTAGGTTGTTCTTTTTTTTTTTTTTTTCTTTTTGTTAGAACATTTTGTATGTACATTTTCGTATATTTTATAATTAAATATTGTTCCTTGGTTAATTAATTATTGTTTAGAATTTAATTACAATATTTATTATAAATAAAAATTAAAAAATTTTTGACCAAAACAAAAGAAAGGGGTTTGCGCGATGAAGAAGAAACCTATGTCGTGCAAAGCCACTAAGCCACTTTGCACGACGTATGTTTCTTCTTTGTCGCGAAATCCTTACTGTCACTACCTTGGTGGGACAGTTAGTGTGCGACGAAGGTTTCGTTGCGTGATTTTTCAGGCAACCATTTTTGACTTTGCACGACGAAGGTACCTACATTGCGCAAAGTGTTTTTTCTACTAGTGTCAGGTGTGGCCTTGAGGGGAAGCTGTTAAAGCGTGTGGAAAGCCATTGCTTCTTTGTGTGTTAAATGAAAAGATAGAGTTAGAGATCGAAGACCTTGAGAGTTGCGGTTAAAATGTTCCAATATACATTTCATCTTCGTTTTCTTAATATATAGTGTTGTTTGAGGATAGATTTGATTGATCAGCCAAATGTAACATGTTTTCAATTTAGATCTTACACGAAGTTTTATGCAATGTCTCTTCCCACACCTGCATTGCAACACAGGCAACTGATTAATTAATTATCGCATATAATTTAAATATGCAATAGCACAAGTGACATTGACCATGTGCCACGCACCCTATATGTTTAGGCCTAATTAATTAATGCATGAACTCAATTATGCAGGTAATTAAATTATAAGGTAATTTAGCCAAAGGTCAATAAAAACTTTACTATTTAGTCATATATAATGACATGTTTTTGTTTTGGACTTAATCAATGATATATTTTTATTAATTAGGCATAGGTCAATGATGAATGACATGTAAGCTTTAAGTCATTATATGTAGTTAAAATTTGACTCTTTTATCCTTCCCTCTTTCTCTCTATGAATGCAACATGGCCTCCTCGACCTCAACAAAGTCCACCAATATCTCAGTACTAAAATCAAGACCCCAGGATACGAACTTGAACTCAGAGTTCTACCTCCATATTTTCCTACGAGGCTTCGTGATTTTTCAACTAGGTAAGGGTTGGGAACTCATGAACTTCTTCCTTTTATGGTTCTGATCTTATGCCAAAGTTTGAATGTGAAAATCCGCTTGATTTGGTGAAGGTTAAACGAAAATCAACTCAAAGAAAATTTCCCCAATTTCCTACGAAGGACCTGCGAGGTTGCAGGTATTTTCCGGCTAACTACGGCCATGCCTCAGCCCCAGTTATGTATATTTCTATTCCTTACCTCTTGAGCTTTATTTTGGCTTTTGAATCTTTGAATTTGGTTGAGAAATGAACCCGTTATGGCAATTTGAAGTTTTCCGGCCATCTCCCCTGCGATTCCGGTCTTCTTCTTTGTTGGTTTTCTATATGAATTCACATAACAAGAAAAGACATTGCGATGCAGTGTATGAATCCACAAACCTATTTGAATCTCAATGCACAATCACAGAACAGGAAACAGACACTGCAACAAAGTGTCTGAATCCACAAAATCGAAAATAAACACTGCGTTGCACTATCTGAATCCACAAACCTAGTTGAATCTCAATGCACAATCACAGAACAGGAAATAGACATTGCAACGAAGTGTCTGAATTCACAGAACAAGAAACAGACACTGCATTGCAGTGTCTAAATCCACAAACCTATCTGAATCTTAATGCACAATCACAGAATAGAAAACAGAAACTGCAACGAAGTGTTTGAATCCACAGAACTGAAAACAGACATTGTGTTGCAGTGTCTGAATCCACAAACATATTTGAATCTGTATGCATAATTACATAACATGAAACAAACACTGCAACGAAGTGTTTGAATTCACAAACCTATTTGAATATGAATGCACAATCACATAACATGTAACAGACACTGCGTTGCAGTGTCTGAAAAATGGAGGTTAAAGGTGGTGGGAGGCGAGGGAGGTTGAAGTAATGGAGGTTGAAGGTGGTGGGAGGTAGGGAGGTTGAAGTTTGAGGGTGGTGGGAGGCGTGATTTACAATGAAGGAGATTGAAAGGTTTGGTGTTTTAAATAGTAATGGTGTCATTTGTAATTTTAATTTGATTGAGGTGTTTTAATATATCTTAAAGTCTCATTGACCTATTTATAATTCCAATAAATTTAATTGACCAATTGTTAGTATCATAACTTTTAATTGATTTTATACAAAATCACCCTAAATAATAAAGTATGTGATTCGTTAAATTATCATCAAATCTTTTTGCAGTTCTTTGAGCAAGCATCAGGCAAGGTCTGCATTATTTTAGGACCATGCATGCACTATGTTTCCATCATGCAGAAAAATGAAATAATTAACTGTAATTTCTCAAAATTTATGAAAATGCATGAATGAGATCACATGGGATTTATATAAATTATATCAAATATGTCAAGGCTGTCAAGATTCCAATTGTCTCAAGGAAGATAATCAATAATCACCAGTTGATCTCATTCAAAAAGAGGGCTTGATTCTCTTGTTTATTTTTATATGCAAAATAATAAAAAAGTTTAAATGACAAATAACTCAACTCATAGCCACAAATTAATGTATTTTGCAAATCATGCCTCCTCCTTGGCAAAGAATCATGTGAAGGAATTGCATAGACATTGCATAGAGCCCTCTGACATTTTATATGCAATATGGATCGGCTCATGAGTTGGTATTGCTGGTCTGAGATGAGACATTGCATAGACATTTGACAGGGAACATATAGATCCAAATCGAAATCATGTTACGTTTAGCTCGTGATCGAAGTGGATGAGATTCCATGTCCCCTTCCCTTAACCAACACTATATATTAGGCAGATGCATATGGAAAGAAACTCATCAATCTCAATTGTACATTAACTACAAAGTCTTCATTTCTTTTTTCTCTCAAATCACAAAGAAGCAATGACTTTCCACACTCGCTCTAACAGCTTCCCCTCAAGGCCACACCCGATCGTTCAAGAAGTTGATGAACATTTGTATATATTGAGGTCCTCCGAAGTCACCTCCACATCTTCTTCATCAATCAACCACAACCTAAGTAGCCTCGGAGACTTGTATGATTGTGTTGATAGGTTGCTTCAGTTGCCCCTCACTCAACAAGCCTTGGCCCAGGAGCAGAATGAGAGATGGACCAATGATCTATTAGATGGCTCTCTCAGACTCTTGGACGTTTGCAGCACTGCCAAGGATGCTGTCTTGCAAACAAAGGCATACGTACAGGATCTTCAATCGATCATAAGAAGAACGCAAGGAGGTGAGTCTGAAGCTCTTACAAGTGAGGTTAACAAATACTTGAGCTCCAGGAAGATGGTTAAAAAGGCTATCCAAAAGGCTATGAAGAATCTAAAGGGAATCGATAGCAAAACCACCTTCTCTTCCCTTAACAACGACCAGGAGACAGTTGCCATTGTTGGCAAGTTGAGAGATGTTGAAGCAATCACTCTCTCAGTGTTCGAATCACTTATGTCCTTCATCTCTGGGCCAAAGTCAAAGCCAGGCAGCTGGTCAATTGTTTCCAAGATGATTCCCACTAAAAAGGTTGCATGTGAAGAAACCGAAGCAAATGAGTTTGCACAAGTCGATGCTGCACTACATAGGACAAGCAAACCCAATAACGCACGGAACCAGCTTGAGATGCTGGGGTCATGCATTCAAGGTCAGGAAGAAGGACTTGACAGCCTATTTAGGCAGTTGATCAAAACAAGAGTATCCCTCCTCAACATCCTAAATCATTAGATGTTTATGTTTTTCGATTTTGTACATGAAAACCATATACTTGTATATAATCTTCCCATACAATTAATGATATACTCATTTGAAATTTCAACTACTCTTGTTCTTTGTTCAAAAGCTTTCATTTCGGAATAGATCCTATACTCGTGCAAGTACTCACCAAAATTTAACCATTACCGCTCTATGTATATTCCGATTACCATCTTGTTCATCGACTCGAATCTAAAAATCAAAAGAAAATGAACTTATCATTATTGACCAATTATCAGGCGAATAATTGAATGAATTTTCATTTCCCAATGTCAAGCCTAAGAGGTAAATTCAGAGTAGTAAGTGAAATGTTACCGGTGACATCACATGTGATTGGTTTAAATTATGTCAAATGTCAAGGCTATCAAGATTCCAATTGTCTCGATGGACAACAATCCATGCCATTCAAAGTAATAAATATATGCTAATTAGATGGACAAATACAGACCAAAAATAGGTGTTCAAGGTCCATAATATAGCCTTGCTTTACTTCTTGAAGTTAATAATTCTGAAGCCCAGAAGTTATTAGCTGTGTCAAATATTTTCTTCTTTTGCCAATAACGCAACAAACCTTGCCGAAGAGTGCGGACAAAAATGGACCAATGAACTAGATGGATCTTTGAGACTCCTCGATGTGTGTGGAATCATTAAGGATGCCGTGTCACAAACAAAAGATTGTACACACGAACTTCAATCAATTATGCGCAGAAGACGGGGAGATGACATGAGCTTCATGATTGATGTTAGAAAATACCTTAGCTCTAGGAAGGATATCAAGAGGGCAATGAACAAGGCCTTAAAGGTCAAGGAAAGTCAAGACCAGAACCATGAGTCTCCAGCTACAATCAACATGTTGAAAAGGGCTACAGGATGCGCTGTTGGCCTTGTACCCCAAGCAATGGGCCTTGTTAGGGCGTGTGGGCCTTTTGACTCGGCAATTGAAGGATGTTGGCGATACTGCCAACAGCGCACCCTCTGCAGTCCACATGAAGCTTGCAAGTATTATCCAACCTTGTAAAAGTTAGCACTTTTTATTTTTAGTTTTTTTTTCTTCGAAATGGGGCGTAACCAACAACATCATTAGGCAATCCATTCATCAAGTTGACTACAAAAAGCAGCCATTTGTCTTATTAACAAAAGGTATAACCTAAGTTACATGGTTAACCATTGATCAAAAAGTGAAATTTTAACGTGACCACAAGACCATGCATGAAATATTAAAAATTTGGGAGCAGGAAAAGATAAAACAAGCATTGTTGTACAACCAAGAAACCACACGTGATGATGAGGATTGACAGGTAATTGTAATCACTGGCGTAGAGGCGTACAACGGGCCGGCTCCGAATTCTCATGTGCACACTGCACGCGCGTGAAGCGGCCTCCTCGTCTTCTGAAGAGGTAGGCATGCCAACCACGAGGGGGTTTATGTTTGCATCTCTCTAAACAGTTTACATTACACAATGCAAATTTGAATTAATTTTGCATGATTATTTAAACGCAGCCCCCTCGTGCAGCCCCATCATTAACTACTAGTTTATCACATGAAGCAAATCTCACTGGCTAATGAATTGGAGATACATTGGGATATGATCGAGTTAAAATAATAGGGTTATGAGTTCAAGTTTGTGTTGGTGTTGGGGAACATTGCATGAACACCACTGAAAGCGTATAGATCGAAATCGAAATATGTGATAAGATGCTTTATGTCTCCCTAGGTACCCTTTGACTCATTGCATGCCCCATTATACATGTAGAGTAGGTGTTTAAGGAAAGCATAAGCAAACTTAAAATTGCAAAAATTGAACTTCAAGTCTCCAAAACCTCTCTCTCTCTCTCTCTCTCTCTTGCTAGCAAAGTAAAAAAAAAATGGCTCCGATCTCATCTTTAAACCCTAAATCCAACTACCATGTTCGGTCGATAAGCTTACCTTCGAAACCACACCCGCTATTTCAACAATGTGAAGATCATTTCTTGAGAATAGCAGCTTCTGATGTCTCCTCTTCGTTTTCATCATCATCGATAAGCCACAGATTGAGTGGTCTTTTGGATTTGCACAATTGTGTGAACGATTTGTTTCAGTTGCCCCTCACCCAAGAAGCCTTTGTCCGGGAGCGAAATGAGAAATGGGTGGATGAGCTTTCGGATGGTTCTCTTAGGCTCTTGGATGTATGTACAGCAGCCAAGGATGCCTTGATACACACAAAGGAATGTGTACGTGAAATCCAATCGATCATGCGCAGAAGAAGGGGAGGCAAAAGCGGGTTCAGTAATGAGGTTAGGAAATACTCAGCCTCACGGAAGGTGGTCAAGAAAGCAATTTGCAAGGCCCTGGGGACTTTGAGGACTTCTCAGAAGAAATGCACCCTCTCTTCCACTAACAAAGACAATGTAGCCATGGCTTTGATTGGTGCTCTGAGAGAGGTTGAAGCAGTCACTCTCACAGTGTTTGAGTCCCTTTTGTCCTTCATCTCTGGAGCAAAGTCACAATCAAAGATGAGTAGCTGGTCTTTCGTTTCGAAGCTTATGCTCACCAAAAAGGTTGCTTGTGATGAAGATGATAAAACCGGCATAAATGAGTTCGCTGATGTAGATGCTGCACTGAACTCCCTTGTATGTCAAGAGGCAAGCAAATCTGACAATATGGTCGACGGTGAGAATGTGCAAAGCGAGCTGCAACAATTGGAACTGTGCAGTCAGGATCTTGAAGAAGGACTCGAAAGTCTGTTCCGTCGATTAATCAAAAATAGAGTTTCCCTTCTCAATACCCTCAGCAACTAATTGTAAAAATTTTGCTGTACTATCATGAACATCCAGATTTTTGTTGCCCTAGAAACTAGATCTTTGTACATGAATGAAATATGCATGTGTTGTCATTTGTAATACAAAATGATATACACTTCTGCTTAAATTTTCACTGCTCTTGTTCTCTCTTGAAAAGCATTATTTTTTGGACCATGAGTTCACGCCAGCTCTAAAACAAACATTAATCTTCGGGTTGCCTTATCAACTTTTCAATTATGATACTGTGCATGGTACCAATCTAGTAAAATTAATGGTGAACAAAAGTCCTTTTAGTCCAATTAAAAAAAATAATAATTAACTGTATGTCTATCAAAACCTCTGTTAACTGAAGCCATCATTATCCCCTGCAACAAAAGCTCTGGTAACTACAATTAAATCAACCATGTCTGTTCAACTTAGATGATGAGAGGTAAAGTTTTAGGAGATTTCGTAATTTCGATTGAGATCATATGGGATTTCTTCAAGCAAATTATATGAAGTTTCAAGGCTGTCAAGAGCAACTTGTCTCAAGGGAGATAATCAATATAATTAATCAACAGTTAATTAATAATGCTATTATTCATCTCACATGATTTAAGCACTAAGCATATCCTAGCTGTCTTTCAGTTAGAGGGACCATAAGATAACTTGGCATGCTAACTGTGGAGAGAGACTTACATTAAACAGAGGCCAGGGCAGGTAAACATATCACGCATTACTATGTATTTTAATTTTTTTTCACTTAGAATCGCATGATTAATTTGAGACATGAAACTTTAGTGTCACTATTTCATATACATGTCGACAAATCAAGGTGACCCACATAAAATTATCTTTTACCTTTTCGACGGAGACATAATCATTTACTTCTTCCATAGAAACGTCATCTTCTAAGTTCATTCTTTTTGCTTTCTCTGAATGAAAGGAGATGAGAATGATGAGTTAGGGTTTAAGGGAGATAATTTTTCTAAATATAGCGTGAGAGTTATCACTCCCCAACTTTCTTTTTTCTTTTGAAAAAAAAAAAAAGTAATGCAAAAGGGGATAACTAAGTCATTTTACAAATGGACAAATTTGTAATTAAAACATTCATAAAAAGGTGGGTGGGAAGATAAGACATTGGGATAGGAATAACACCTCTCCAAGTATTTAATTAAAAATAATATGGCTACAAAAAAACAAAAATATGGAGTATTGATGCAATTTTTGACACATGCCTAACGGAAAACTGACACAATAGTTGAGTTCATGCATATCAGTATTAGACTTCGATATAGGCATTTCCAAACAACTAAACTGCATAATAGTAAGCACAACTAAGTAATTTATCAAACAAACTAATTGAATTTGGAAAAACTAACCCCTGCATCACGTCAAACGTGAAATGAATGATAACTCTGTAAAAGAAAACTTTCTTAGAAACTCCTAGAAACAACCTCCATTGTTTGGTACATCACATGCACTGTGGTGCATTCTTCCTTTTTTCCTTGGTTGGAAAACAATAAGCCCTAAATGCTAATAGATATGAATTGGAAAATACTAACCCCTAAACGGTAATGGATAGCAAGCATTTATTCATATAACATGTAATGCAAACTACTAAAGAAACTCCTAAAACTATGAGTACAAAGTCTAAGCTTTTTGGTCCAGTTTCAAGTTGCATTTGCAGCGACATTCCGTGCCTATTGTTTGGGTTAATATTTGAACATTGGATTTAGATGAAGAAAAGCCCAAGAATGCTTAATAAAAGGAGACATGCCCGAAGCACAACCAAGCCCATAACCAAATTGAGGCATTCTCAACCAAAATGCAAGTCACGTGCTTGCCACTAAAGTGACAAGTGATGGAGACTAACCTACTATCAGCCAAAGAACACTTTCTAGTGGCATTACAAGTAAAAAGTTGATGACTCACTACCCTCCAAATGCTTTCAAATAAGAACAAAGTTACAACAATCAGTCTAATTTGCCTATAAAAGGACGAAGAGGCCCCAGAGACAAGGACACTCAACCAATCAAACAAACATACAAACTCTTCTCTCAAGCCAGATTTGCATCCAAAAGTTGAAATCAACCCAGATTCAGTCCTTTTTAGTGACAAGCTATCTCTTGTCTAGATTTCCTTAGAAAGCCTCTCTTTCTCTAGTTTAAAGTTATGCTACCTTTAACCATCGTAGTATCGATTCCCTCGTG